TTTCCCTTTCGGTACCAAAATTTTCATAACGAAAACTCTAATTAAAATTTCTGCTGCGTCGACGACAATAGATTTGATTTCATCGACGTCGTGAAAAGAACAGCGTTATTCTAAACAAATTTAATTTAATTGCCTCCACCTCCTGTACCAATTATACAATTAGAATATAAAGCGGCTGATGTAACAGTATCGGAGTTTCTTTCGTTGAAAATGAAATTCCCGAGAAACTACTTCCTGATTCGAATCGCTAACATCTAGGAAGCGAATCCCTCTTGGGATTCTAAAACGTTTCTTCGGGCATGCAATTCCTGAAAGAGAGAAGACGAGATCTACCTTGCAGAATCACGGTGTCTACTTTGAGAAAGGAATAGTGGACGGCAGAGACAGGGGCGGATTTAGAAGCGTTGCTCGAGCTGACGGCTAACGAAATGTCTAAAAGTGTATTTTGAAATCTTACAGTTGTCGCGATATACACGAATGAATATGTACGAATGAAAATACAAGCACAAATCGATTAGTCTTATCGGTTCGTGTATTATACATATATGTATACGATTTGTTTTATACCGTGCGAAAACGTAAAGAGACCGACGAAACAATTTAATACTTGGCGAGCTATATCCAAATTCAAAGGAAAATGTTTGTCCTTTCGACAAACATGCATACGCCCTCGTGGTCGTAAAATAAATGTCTTGTATGGAAACTTGTTTTTCAAGGACTTATTTCACTTGGAGAAACTGAGAATTTTATCGCTTCGTGACCATTTTCTCATGCAACCGAAAGATCTTGTTCGTTGCTTTTCGCGTTTATCAGAATAAATCGATAATATGAAATCCAACGTTAATTTAACCTTAAAAGAAAAAAAGAAATTATTTAACAGAGACTAACAATAAGTAGTTATCTCGATCGTGTTGATATGCTCGACTATTACTTACGAATAGGACAAAAACTTGTTTACAAGAACAAACCCGAGGATGATAAATCGGAGTTGGCCGATTTAAAAGTACGACATTTTATCGAAATGGCTTGAAAGGGAGAAGTCGCGAAAACACGATTAGAGAGTGGACTCGAAGAGTGGTCGAAACCAAAAAAGCAAATAGTCTTACTCCAGCTTCCGTTTCCAACATTTCCGGAGCCTGGTCAAGGTCATCTCCGTTCTTTCATCGAATTGCCCTAGTTGTTGCCACCGATTGCATAATCTCCCGTGTTACCTCCTGGCAAAACTAATTTATTACTCAACGATCATCTCCGCTCGTCCGATCGACTATCGCGGGTGGAATGAGGATGTCCTCTATACCCTTCCGTGACATTTCGCAATAAACGACCCTCTCGATTATGTAAAAGAAAGGACTGAACACGTCGCGCTGGGATATGTATCGTATAAAAACCGAACGCCATCGTATACGAGTGGCTATCAAACTTACATACACGTATGTATGTATCGGCGTCGGAACCAAACACACGAACGTTCGATAGAAAATTTCATGTTACAACTACGACTCAGATCAAGGCTCGTCTTCCTTACCTCGTATTTATTCAACAGGTTATAGTTTGGACGACCATAGCAGTGAAAACACTTGTTGAGTAACGGGTAAACGTAGTTACGAGTCGCGAAACTAACGTATTATTTTCATTGTATTCTTCGTCAACTGGATCGTACTCGTAATTTTCAAATGTGTCGTGCCGTGTCGTGTCGTGTCGTATGAACGTCGGCGTCGGGAAGAATCGTAACGTATTCGTTCGTCTGTGTCGATTTGTCCTATTTTCTAACCGATCGCGATGAAAACAATCCAAGAGAAAAGAGTTACACGTTACACGTGTCTTTGAAACAAGATAGCGCGGTAATACCGCCAATGTTAATTGACGATTTTTAATAACAGCTTGGATATATCGGAGTTATAATGACCGAAATAAGGAACAATTGCGTGTGAAAATTAATACATACTATGATTTGTACGAAGATAGAAGTTGAACGGAAACGCGTCCGACTCATCTCGAGTGGTATGTAAGGTTAATTAGACGCCAAGATATTCCGAGTGACGCGAAAGCCATGACCATCGATGACATTAATTGACTTTATAAACGTCACGTCCAAACGAGAATCCTCTTTAAAAGCGCGCATGATTTGCACACGCACAATGCGTTTTATTATTTAATATCGCAACGTATTTTATTCGATTAACGCGGGTTAACGGTAATTTCTCGTACTTGAGCGAGCGTTAACCGTGGCAAAGTTGTGTCACAATTTACCGCGACGCTGTCAAGTAAATTTCTGCCGAAAATAAGAATAAACTATTTTTTGTATATTTCGATACGGTCTATATTCGCGAAAACGTTCGTTTAAATCAGAATTTCCGAATTCGGAAGCTTCCCTTGTTAGCGACCGTGGGAAAATGGAAATTTGATTGTTTGTTTCCGTCACTAGTACATATATCTCCGATGCGTGTCGTCGTATCGACATCGAGTAGGTCTTGGAGTCGAAAAGAATTATTTTCATCGATGATTTGTCTCTGACCTAGTTGCTTCTAGAATTGTTTACCGCTTCTCATTGGTGGTAGCGACGCGAACGAGTGGGAAAAGTTTCGCGACTCCGTGCGACTCACGGACACATTATTTTCCATGAACGATTTCGATCGCGATCACGACAATCCAACGACACGGTAAACATTTCCCTGGATACTTTTGTGCTCTGCAAATGTATCTCGAGTACCGTGCGTCATTTACGAAATGCATCTTCGCGAGACACGACCTCAGAGGATTTGGGTCACGAAATATAGGCTGTTGCTTTGTTTTTATATTTACACATTCGAATCGATGCTCGACAAGGAATGCTTTCTTCTCCGAGACGTTTTAAACAAAATTCGATCAAACATTTTCGTGCAAGAAAGTGAATCGAATGCGTTGGAATGAAAGAACCTTATCGAAAATTGACGCCTGAATTTGCTCGAAATTTGTATATCGACGAATATAAAAATGTTCAAGGAACATGTTCACGTGATACGAATTACGGTCGGTTCTTCTGCGAGGACACCCGCGTACCGATTCGTTAATCGCGAACCGACTCTATGAAAAAAAAAAAAAAATGAAGGAAAGAGAAGAAATGAAAAAAGGTGAAGAAAGGCGGAAAAAGGAGTTTGGTCACGGAAAGTTATTTGTCAGGTAGGACGCAGTTGAAAGCAGTGCGCGAGCGCGGTTACCCAGAATGAGCCCCCGAAGGATGCACTGACCCGGACAATTTCGGAGCTAGCCTTGGCTGCCAGCACGAAACGGATGGCACACGGATCAAAATCGGCCTACCTGTGGATCGTGATTCGCGGCTCCGGTGACGCTGTCTGCGCCCGACATCCAAGGCTCGTGGGGACCTTGAGGAGATCACAGGACGACAGGTGATGTCCGTATTCGCGACAATTCCAGGTGTAACCGGAACTCTCGTCCTCCTTCATGGATTGCTGTCTCCTGGCACCAGCATTGTCAGCCGCGCTGCCACCACCCTCGGAGAGATGGCGAATCAGGGGACGTCGCATATCATACGGACAACTATTTCACCGGCACATTCGAAATACCGTAGACACGATTCGGATTCGTATTCGTATTCGTATTCGTATTCGTATCCGGATAAATTAGATCGCAATCGACACACCACGAGCTCCCGATACTCCAGAAAGTGAAGTCCCGACACTTGAATGTTTGCGATTTCACGGCTCTCTCCAACGATCACCATACGTCGATCACTCTCAAACCCGAGAACGACGTAATCGCGGCACGAGTTCTCGCGAGACTATGTACTACGTACTTCTTGCGCGAGTGTTTACGACCGTGCACCCCCCTTTCGCCCCTCTTCTTCGTTTCAGCCGAGCAGCATTTGTCGTATCCGCCACCCGCAGTTCCAAACCTCGCGGAACTTGAAAACATGGTTGGTCGGTGGTCGGTGGTCGGTGCGTCAGGTAGCGTCGCGGCGCCAACCGTTTTCTCTACCTTATCGGCTTTTTCTACAGAAGTCGTACTTGACAGCGTCGGGCAAAATTTCATCCATGCCACGGCCACGATTCACGATTTCCAGCCAGCAGATTTTATGCACTTATCGTGTACCGTAATTCGAAACTTTGGTATAGAACACGCGAGGAATATGTACGATAATATAAATCTTTGTCAATTTAAAGGTTATATACATATATCGCGGTAGAAGATCCCCCTCTCGTGTTCAAACTTTGGCGTGCTCGCAGCCACGAGTCGTGAGGCGAGTTGCATTCACGTAGATTGCTCGGCTAATCCAGGTTAATCGACCAAAACTCACTCGAAAATTTATCGGAAGATAGAAAATTGATCGTTACACCTCGCCGATTCGCGCGCAGAATACTTTTACCGAGTTTTACAGAAGCGAAGAGCGAAACTTTCGTCGTAACCTTCAATGTCGCGTTCTCGTATTTACCGATTGGTTACTCGGTTACTCACCGAAGGCAGCACTGTCGGCTCTTTGTATGAAATGCGGCAATATTTGAATCGTAATATCACGTCAAGTGATTTCTTTCCTAAATAGTTTATTGCGTGCAAATAATTTCCAAAATGTGACAAAAACTGATCAGAAAACATTGTTTTTTCACTAAAGTTTCTGAGAAAGTATTAGTGAGAAGAGAGAGAGAATGATTCCGTAAATGATTCATACGTGTTACTCGATTACACAATTACACGATTCTCTCGATAACTCGGTTCGCAAAAATTGCCAGAAAGGTAACAGAAATTTCTTATTCAAACTGTTGTTTCTCGTTGAAATATTATGTTTTATTCTTTATACCTTCCATTTACAATTTTGTCCACGGATTTGTTGGAATCGATCATCGTGCGACAGTAGTATTCAAACACATGTACGTTACGAACGATATTCTTTCGTTACTCGAGGAATAATGCATTTCTTGAAACCCTGGTCGCAGCTCCACCATAATTTCATGTTAACGGAAACTTTTCGGGAATTCTTTGGGATTGGCGAATGAAAACAGTAAATCGCCCGTTAAAAGCAAATATTGGATTTATTTGTCGATTTATTTGGCGTAGTCGTAAAATATATCGATCGATACTCGTAACACTGTCGGATCGTGACGTTGATTCCACGATAAATAGGTGTTGAAATCGGATGTAAATTCGTAGATTGTAGATACCTGAAGCGCGCGCGTGCGATTTCGCATGCCTCGGTGTCAGGCAACGATCGCAAAGATAAAATAAATGTCGAACAGTTGTGTATCTTTCAATACACGTGTTTCAGTTCTTTCGTGGAATGAGAATAAAGATATGCCCTTTGACTCTTTGTAATCCGAGTAACACGAAATTTTATCGTGTCGCGTATGAAATGAAAATTGGTGACGCTGTAGAGACCCCAATGCCAATCCCGGTAGAATGCAAATGGTCGAGAGAACGATTCGCGGTTAAAAAAAAAGTCTGAGCAAAGGTGCGATTATCTTTTTACGGAAATAGTCGATACTTGAGTTTACTTTTACTCTTGAATGAAATACATGCATAGAAAAGTAAAAGTCGATAGGGAGAGAGAGAGAGAGAGAGAGGGGGGGGAGAGAGGAAAAAAATCATAGTAACGAGTAACAATTGAACGCAAAGATTCGAAAGGGAGTGTGATATTCAAGGAATGTTTCGAACATAGCACCACGTTATATCCTTACCATTATCGCTATTCGCGTACAAGCTAAAAGACTGTACTGTTATGGGAGTCGGTCGTACACGCGTGCACACGTAACCCGTCTGTACGATGTAACCGAAAGAGAACAGGAGCTTCGAGGGGTTGGATGAATGGATCACCACCGTTGCAACGAATTACCTCCGATTTCGAGGCTTGCGCGCTAATTAATAATTCGCAAGCGACCAATCGATTAGCTGGAATCCGGGACTTGCGTTTTATGTAACGATGTGCACGCGTGCGTTAGTCGGCCGTTACATCTGTGCCCTCGAATAAGATCGAGACGTTTCTATGAGCGAGAAACGTCGACGATTTGCCGATCTTTTCATTCTGATTGGAAATATAAGAGCCGTCGCTTTCCCTTAAAGGCGGGCCACCGTTGGCGTCGCTTTTGGCTGCAGATACAACATACCAACAGTGCTTACTCGCGGGCACATATTCATCGAGACGAATGTATGCTAAAAACATACGTACGATAAACGATAAACGATAAACGATTAACAATTAACGATCAACATCGTCTCTACATAGTTGGCGTGAACGTAGCCAGTACGACGCCCGTGATTATCAACACGTAATCGCGTAACGCACTATAATTCAGCTATCGTCGGTCGTTCCTACGTTACGAACCGACCACCCTATGTATAGGTAAATTACGACCAAGAGGAAAAGGTCGTCGAATGCACCTGTACACGTGTGAGTGTGGCCGTGCATTCAAATACGCGGACAACGTGGTTGCATATGTGCAGGCGCGGGAAGAGCGCAACACACACGTGTACGGTCCTTTAATTTTGAATTCGTTAAATACATCTATTACAGCGACACAAAAGACGCTCCGTTGTACTCGGGCTCTAGCAGCCGACCTGGTGCAGCATCGTCGCCAGCCGAAAAACTCGCATCCAAGCAAACATCCCCGTCGACGGTGAACGACAAATCGCGCGTCTCGCCGACGCCGATGTCGAGGGCGACGGGCTCGACGGGATCCTGCAATCCATCGACATCGACATAGATCGGCGACGCTCTCCACGTTTCGGCGTTGGCGTCGCCTCGATAGAACACACGTCGCTCTCCGACTTCCTTTCCTTTAGCTGTTGCTGCTGCGGCGAGTACTTCATTACTAAATCAACGAAACGATCAATCGATTAATCCAATCAATTTTCCCACAGTTTATCTTTTATAATTCAACGACAGTGACATCAAACGTGCGCATCGCTGAGAATTGGGGAAATAATTTAATTATTAAATTGACCCGACGCGATGCAATGTCCGGCTTTCTCGTGCGTACAACAATCCATAGCCTGTTTGTCAGCATTAACCTTTGGAGAAGCTCCAACTGGCAAAAGTCCACACGCTGCAGACAGAGATGGGCAAAATTTCAATCGAATAATAATACATGTATGTAACGAACAAAACCAACATATAGCGAATAGGAATTGAACGATCGATATTTTTTTAAAAGATTACTTTACCGTTGGTCGATATTTCTTATCGCGTAAAATAATGATCGACGATATCGTTATCGCGAAAACGAATTTTTCTCGCATCGCGGACATCGCTTTGGAACAATCTCCGTATCTTTGCCCGGTAGATTCACGTGTAAGCTACCGCTCAAAAGTATTACATTTGATCACTCGTAATATGTAGCTTCATATATACATTTGATACGTTTCATAACACAGCGAGTCCTCGAGTTACGTGAATTCGCTAGACACGCGTACATTGGGACCTCACTTATGACCTCGAGGTAACCACATCATACACGGTCAATATTATCGTGCAATGTCGAATATTGCCGATAATATTTACCGCTTACGGTTGCCTTTTATTATGGCTTTAATGGGATTTTCCCATGTATCACCGCGTTACTTTTTTTCTCACGACAAACAGAGAAATTCCTTTCACTGGCTAATCCTCTTTTGTTTAAGACAATCTGAAAGCTGCTTACAATTAGAGAGATTCGCACGAATAAAAGGAGAAGCACTACTTGTTTGACAATCTCTTACAGTTCGTGAAACACGTAGAGTATTCTAGGTAGGTAAAATTTATAGTTATAAAATCCACGTACATTTTCCGTGAATGTCATATCGACCTTGGCTATGTTTGTTCGCGCTAAGCGCTTACTCGGTCATGGTTGAAGATCCATTACGCGTGTGATGCAAAAAGAGCTCTGACATAACCGTCGAACAATTCGCGTAACCGACAAATTTGTCAGGCCTGCTTTTATCCATTGTATCCATGTTACGGTATGTAAACTATACATGTATATTACCGTTTTCTGCTTTGTTTAGACCATATCTCGAGGTAAAACTTTTTTAAAATTGTTTCGTGTAAAGTATATAATGTGTGAATCGGTATATAAATCAGACATGCACGACCTGCGTCTAAATATAATAGCGTGTCGATATACGTACGTACGCGCGCGCGTGTACAGATGCGATCGTGTCATCGATTAAAGAAAAAGTTAGTTTTCGAGGAGTTTATCAGTGGCCGCGTTTCGAGGACTCTTTCCGGGATTCCGAGAGTAGGTACAAGTACAGTGGGCGTTTCAAATGTGTTCTGGTTTTAGCGAAGCGCACGCGCCTCTTTCGGTCAGCTGATTCCCTAGACCTACTTTTTGCCCGATGATGCAGGCTACAAATAAGTATAGATACAGAATAGAGATATGATATAAATGGTTGAGTATGCGCGATCGTGGTACCGTGTACGTGTGTATACCTACTGCATACGTAGGAGGCACTCTGGCCTAAATCATGCTCTTTGCTCGAAACCATCCTCGAGCCCTTCGAAAGCCACCGTTTAAGAAAAGAAATTGGGGAAATTGTCCGCGTTCGATATAAAACGAAACAAGGCGTGTGTAACACGTTAGGGCGACATTTATTTCGATTAGAAATCACGATGCAGCGTTTGACAGAAAACGTCGCGAAAGACAAACATGGAAATCGTTGAAAGTTTGATCGACTCTCTGTCGAAACTGCAACATTCTGTGACCGAACCTTTCTCGTAAAAAACAATAGTAAAAGTAGATGCAGGATTTTGGATTTTTCTCAAACTGTCACGATTTGGAGCCGTCGAAACGTTTCAAGGGCCTGTACGCGTTTTAAACGCGCCGAATCGTTTCGCGTTAATTCCGAAAGATCGCAAAAGCGCGGGCAGTTTTAGTTGTCACTGTCATCGATCACACTCGTTATCCACTCCTTGTACAATCTACCGCACAACGATGCAAACAACTACTAGTTACGAATTCTGATAATCAATGGATAAGCAACTGCTATACGCGATCGGTAGTCGGGTTGTTTGGTACGTACCTGTGCGGCTTTTTATTCAATTCCTAATCCCTCGCGAGGAGGTAAACGCGAAAACGGGTGTACTTTGCTGCTAACCGTTCTATACTGGTTCGAGGCGCTTCGTGCTTCGTGTTCGTGTAGCGTTCTGCGGAGCACGACCAAGTGCATTCGTGCGACAAGAGATAGAGACAACAAGTAAGATAGAAACAGAAAGAGACAAAGAGAGAACCAGAGAGGCTCCTCGCTTCTCGCTCTGGTATAAGCGGCTGGGATAGGGAAGTGGGTAGCGGGTAGTGGGTAGTGGGTAGTGGGTACACATCGCGCGATCGTTTTCACGATGAAGAGAGTTGGTGGGGATGAGGAACATACTAGTCTTCTTGGTTGTGTACCACAGACCGCAGTGCTGCGCCGGCGCTACATCGACCCATCATCCATCGCCATTTTCCCCATTTTCCCCATTTTCCTCATTTTCCATTTCTCACCGATGCGAGCAAGCTTCCAGTTTCCACTTCCAACTTTCAAGTATCATTTCAAAATACCTCCATTCGATGAATTTATTTAAAATTTAACGGTCCCAAGTTATTATATATGTTCTTCAGTTTTTCTACCGTGTTATTTACAAATAGGTTACGTGACATTCTCGATACGGTAGATTGTGTCACTGTGTCTGTCATGTCAATCAATGTATGTATATCAGAGTTGGTGCTGAAGAGAATGTTCCTGGATGTGATTCAAGCTTAGCTATCGGAACTTTTTCAACAAATTATTTCATTATCAGTCTGGACGCCGATAACGACTAGTATCGTTACTATCGCGAAAACATTTTTTATACACTACTTGTCTACTTTATGGCTTCGTAACCTTCCTGTCCTCCAAATAGACCGCTACATCGAGATTTTACCGTACCTATTTGCTTCTTCGTTCTAAAACTTGATACATACATATGTATGTATATCTTATATTATCACATCTAATAACTTTCGAAGGCTATTTCATATTTATCCATCGGATACTAAAACTGAAGAAACATTTGCGCATATATAGATTAAGCATGTCGTTTCGTAAACGTCTCTCAACACACGTGCCTCTGCTTTAAAAGGCATTTCGAAACATAACACGATCGCGGTCAAGGCAATGTCAGTGTTGGAGCAAAGTGTCGTGTATATTAGAGATTTTCCAAACAGTCGAACAAGTAGTTTACGCAAGTATTTACAAGTGCGTGTATGTTGAGAATAAGAATACACAAAATATTATTACTGCGTTACAAATATAAAACAGATTGGCTACAGGTTAGAGTTGCTTGTTTTTCTTTGGCCTTGTAGACTGAAATGATAAATTGTAAGGGACTTACCTTTCACTGACATACCATGTCGAAGAACATAGGTTTTGCGGACCGAACAGACTTTTTGGTGAATTTTCCAAACTGACATTTGTTGATTTTGAAAACGATAGCGAAACACCACTTTTTGATGAACACGATTTGCGACACTCTGCACTAGACGAAGCCAATTGCCATGAATATCTGGTTTTTACAGACGGACTGCTATGATCAGGACTTGAAATACTCGACGGACTTTCCGGACTTTTCAAATTTCCAGAACTAAAAACTCGAACTAACCGGAGTCTCAAAGAGTTGTTTTTGCTTCTCACTATACAGTTATCATCGCTTGGCGTCAATTTTTCGAAAGAATCGGAACTATTTTTCATTTTGATCCGAGAATCTATTAAAATTTTTATGTAAACGAACGCGTTTCTACAAGCTGTCGAATTAAAATGCGATATTTTTGTTAAAAGATCGAATAAAACCCCGGTCAAGACGTTACTTCCGGCCATTTTTCAACCACATCCTTCCTCGTTCTTATCAAACTAATTTGCGGTAAACGATTTAAATAAATACGATTCCAAATGTGACATTTTAGTTTGAAATATTCCAAGTAAAGTTTTAATCGATTAAATTTATTATTATCTTTCATAATTGATATGTTAATTCGAGTAATCGAATATTATAAAATTGACAAATTTAAAACGCAATATTTACGTTTGTTTATTGTTTCTTGGTAATTTATAACTGCTTTCAGTTGTCAACAATTTGTCATTGGTTCATATAGAAAGAAAAGACTATTGTAAACTTACTGTTGAGTCTGTATTTTCAGGTTATTGCATTACAAATTAACAATCTGTCTAAAGATTCAAACAGTATTTAATCGCAAATAAATATGGTGCATGATCTATGTATGGCTCAGCCATCACAAGCAAGCACCAGAATATCTTGAACGATAGAGGGCCAGAGCCAGTTCTAGCCAGTTCTAGTCGGACTCTTGTCAATGCATGTAATTACATGATATACCTACTTACAATCAATAACAATAATTTGTCACTATTCAGACTTTGCAAACACTTGAGTACCAGATATGGGAGCATAAATGAATGAGTCGAGTGAGACGTAGCGAGATGTCCACGAGGTTTGAGATGATAATAGTACTAGATTCCTCTGCGACACCCACTGGACACGTCTAGCGTGCTTTGTCATCTCCGACGGGTGTCAACTTTACTTCGAAGCTTGTTCGATGTACGCGATTAGATCACCTCGTTCCTGCGGTTTCTTCAATCCGGCAAACACCATCTTTGTACCAGGGATATACTTCTTTGGATTTTCCAGGTATTCAAATAATGTATCCTTGCTCCAAGTAATGCCTAAAATAATACATATTCCGTGTAACAAGAATGTCAAAGGTATAATTACAGGATTAAAATTTATATTAATATTTTGATAAGAATATAATACCTTTTGCTTTGTTGGCATCCGTGTAACTATAACCCGGGGCCTGCCCAGTTTTCCTACCCATTATTCCATGTAGATTTGGTCCTACTTTGTGTTTACCACCAGCTTCGATTGTATGGCATTGAGCACACCTTTGTACGAAAAGCTAAAACAAAATATTGCGTTTAAAATACAAATACCATACTTTAATTGGTATTCTGATAAAAGTAATATAGACGATAACCATATCAAAGATTAATACAGAGTTGATTATGATTATCGGTATAAAGCAAAAACTTGGAATAAACCCATAGATTAACGTTATCGAGAAACGTATAAATGACGTCTCTTCCGCGTATTACGTATTCACTTCGTATACGAACGTCACGAGATCGAAATTTCCCGCGTATCCGTTCATATGTTACTTGGCTAATGAACATTCGGTAGAAATGAAACGTTAAGTAGAAAGACGATCGAAATCGTTTTATATTTTTAAAATCATATTTCGGTTTTTTAATTCCTACCTTCTTTCCTTTCTCTGGATCGCCGGCGGGAACACCCATTCTGAGTTAGTCTAAGAAACGATTTCCAAATATTAATACGTAATGCAATATGCAATATACAATATGGAATAATCATTATCAATATCTTTAATGTTGCATCAGAAAAGTATCAATTTTCAAAAATTCAATTCGCATTTATGTTTCTCCTTTATTACATAACTTGCGTAAAACGCGTCAACAAATTTGTCCGTTTCGTAATATCATTGTTCAAGAAATTTACATGTATGTACACATAAAAAAACGGTTACATATTAAACTCTTTAAATAATAAAGTGTAATACACGATCAATTGAAAGACGCACTAGACGGGTTACGGAAATACTTGACATTTTTCGATCTGCACGTGCCCGCCAGAATGTGCATAACGTACAAAACGATAGAATGGTAAAATAATTGATTTAACCATACAAATGTATGAAACATGCAATAAACTTTGTATTTTCCGTCGAACGTATAAACGTATTTTCGACATTGACACGATGACATTGACGGAACTATTATTTACTCAAAGGTCAAACAGACTATTGTATCTCCATACATGCACAAAGTAGAAAAAGAATAATCTTAATCCAATCTAATCGAACAAAAGAATACCTATGTACTTTCCCTCTCTCGATATCCGCTATATTAATTAAACGAAATTAATTATGAAATGAAATTGCGACGAAATTTTCTTAAATTGATTACATTAATACGGAACGATAATTGAATTCTCTTAACTTTGCGTAAGATCACGCAACAATTGATAATATGTTTAAAAAAAAAAACAAAATCAAAAAGGGTATTCCTAAGAAAGAAAACGCACCTACGTATACACATGCAATTTATATTGCGATTATTTAACACTAATTTTTTCGTTTCATACCTCGAATATTTGCATTTAGAATAAGACACAATTTCATATAAAAATTTAGATGTTCTCAGTAACGAAAGTATAATGAGTGTAATAATAGAGTACTAGCTCAAGGATAGTAATATTACGTAACACTTAATACTTTATATTTAAATAAAATATGCAATGTGTCTAATAGAAATTTTATTAGAAGAATATGCAACGACATTAAATATGGGTTCCCAAGGATTGTGAGTCAATTACACGTGCTGGAAACGCCATGTATACTAAAATTCCTAGATATTTCATATAAAAATTCACATAAACTTAACAAATTTTCACCTAAGGAGAACTTTTAACGAAAATAATGATCGTATCGATTGATAATTTCAAACGCTTTTGAAAAAGGTGAAAATCATACTTACCTAATTTAAGTGGCACTCGCACGAACAGAGTATTAGATCGCAAAAGTCTGTAGTCTGACCGTGAATAAACGCTTCGATCGATGTGTAACCACTGAGTTCGTCAGGGCTCAGGGCTTAAATTCAGGGTATTCAATGGCTGACGTAACAGTCACCGAGTCCAAGTATCAAACACTTTGTCAGATGGCGTTCAAGTAAAGTATCGTCGGAATTTTTCCTATGATTGGTAAAATAATTTCCGCGAAATTTATATCTAATTAAGAGTAACTTTATCTTTTCCAATTTATTAAACGCTAGTCTAACGAATTACATTTAAATATTTACTATTAACTATTTGCTGCATTTGTTTAGTTAAATAAAAACTAGGGATTTTCTAATAGGAGTCACGAAATAACATTGCCCGATTCTGATTGGTCGCTGCCATTTTTCACAAAGTCCCCCAGTCAGACGATTTATTCATGGTACCAGTATTATATACGTACATATACAGGGTGTCCCAAAAGTCGGGGAGGAGCCGGAAATGGGGGGTAGCTGAGACGTGCATCGAAGGACATTGACGCTGCCGCTTAGTGCGTAGCCTTCGCTACCGCGGCCGCTCGAACGGTCTACGCGCGCTCTGATTGGTCGGGGTTTTCTCTTAATATCTCCTTAACGAAGCCCCATCCGACATTTTTGCAAAGGAAATTGTTGTTCAGAATCGTCTCAGCTACCCCCCATTTCCGGCTCCTCCCCGACTTTTGGGACACCTTGTATGTACCTGCGTTCCGTTTCATGGTCAAATGATATCGCGACTGATCATACATGTAATATTCACGGTTATGTATTATGGGATTACATACTTTATATATTACAAATAATTTTAAACAATTTTATACAAGTACAATTACATATGTTGTGAAAACTTTATATAGCCTATAAAACAGGATATATCTAGATGAAGGAACAGCATGTAATGAAAGACATAATGTACATGATTGGTGCAATATGGGCGTAAGGCCCATGGACTTTAATAAATACACATATGTACATATGCATCCATACAAAAAAATGGATGACGCGAAAAATCGCGGTCGAGAACGAACTAATTTTCGAAGGTTCGTGGGTTCGTGGTTCGATCAGAATCCTCGACTGCAAAACGTCCAAGTTTGTAGCGAAGATAGTTGTCACTGTTGTCGCTAGATGGAGAATGGTTTACTACCAGTAGCGCCATCCGTGGTTAAACACCCAAGTTTTTAGTGAAAATAGTTCATACTGTTTTTTTTAGATGGTGCCGCTAACTAAAGGATCGATAATTATTGCTACCTTAAATTACTATGAATAAAAATGATAATTGAATTGATATATTGTAGTATTATAAAGCAAAGAATCGTATTAATTATACATTTCTAAGAAAAATAAGAAATAATTGACTAAAAAGTATCAGTGGCGCCATCTTATAGAAACTCTGAGAACTATTTTCACTACAAACTTGGGCCTTTTTTCTCTAGATGGTGCCGCTAGGCTAAAGTTTCTGTAAAAAGAATGAAAAGTCGTAAAACTTTATTTCAACTTAATTTTAATATGTTTTAAGATCATATTGTGGTTTTTATATAGTTAAAAATTTATTATTTAACGTAATGTTTCAGTTTATGTGAATACAGACACGAACATGTCAGTGGGTTGGATTCCTCGTCGAGGTATCATTTAATATTAGTTTATTGTTAGAATTGGCTAAAAATTGTCGTGTATCAATCAAAGTGGTCAAGGGTAAAGTGTGAAGTTTGAAAAGTGGTCTATAGAAGAATCCAGCATTGTTTAAAATAGGATTTGAGAATACCAAGTAGATAGTTGAGGTCTGTGTTGATCTTTCCGAAACTGCATAATCGACTCATTCTTCAAGGATAGCAGCAGCAGCGCCGCAACGGTCAGCAAGAACAAGAACCTCGTCCACGAAGTATGTTTATTATCGACAATGCGAAACAGACTTGACTTGACTGTAGTGGCGGAATGAAAATGGCTAATTGTCAGGTCCGTTGGTGCAGCAGGTGAGCGATCAATTATCGTTAATATCAGGACATTAGTCGCTTCGGGATGAACGGTGCGGAGTTTGCAGCGATTAGAACTGTCAAAGTCAGTGAAAATTGCATCGATTTTAGTGTTGTCGAGCAAGTTAATGGATTATCTAAAGAGGTGCGCGATCGAGATCACCCGCTGAAAGGCTTGTTGGCTCCTTTTTTTCTACAGTGATAACGAGTTTTCAATTTGTTAGGCAATGAGCTGAACCGGTGATCGTTACTGTTCTATGTCACTGTTAAACGGGGATCGATAACCTCGCTTGTTGACAGGGATAAAAGAAACGGATGCGACGCGATCTCAAAGATTGAGACACATCAGCAAAACGTAGATTAATTTATTACGTCCATTCAGAAAACATACGTCCACCCGTTGTTTCTCCCGTATCAGTAACCGCGCGGAAAACAGTGATGCATGAAAAGTCTCGATATTACGAGGCACGTGTATGTATTGGAGTAAGAGCTACTCTGTGTGCATGTGTGCCAGGTGCACTGTTGCATCCCTCTGATGAGCGCCATGCACCGTTTAGACCATAGCCATAATGTCATCCCGAAGGCTACTTCTTAGTAATTCACAAAGGGTTCAGTGTTCCGTGAAGTACAGCGCATGGATACTTTCCAGGCAATACCTAGCACGTACCTTGCTAGAGAAGTATTTGTGGTAGATCCTCGGTGAATCAAGAGCATGGCTTCTGGTGCATCTTCCTTGGATAGTGCTGGAAGTAGTGGTGAGTACACTTTTTACTTTTTTTTATCTAATCTTTTGACATATGTTTCTGTCAATTGTATAATGTCTATGTAAATTAAAGTATAGAGTTTGACCTCTTAAATTCAAAGGTATTAAACAAGATTCGACCGTTAATATGAAAGAAATTTGACAAAGATGCTCATAGTTTTTCCATTAGCAAAGATGAAAATTGATATGTTTATATAAATGTTGGTGTTTCCTTATATGTAACTAATATTATTGCATGGAACAGCATTTCGTTTCATAAAATGTAAATGTCAAAAAGTAATTTTAAATTGCTATCTAAATGAAAAATTTCTAAACCATGAGACAAATTCATATTATTGCACTTTTTTCATTAATCGAATTGTATACTGTGTTTTAAATAGCACTTGCAATTTCACTTTGCGAAAAACTATGAATCATGATGCTTACATGCGCGACACAGAGTTTCTTTCCTGGTGAAAGCTAGCAAGACATTCGCGTATGTTGTTTCATCATGTGTAACAACACACTGCACATTGTACAAATATAGTAATTCCATTTTCATGTTTATAATGGTATTTTAGTTTCATACATGATTAAATTATTCTTCATTTTTTCTTGCAGATGGGGCACTCAATATGGGTAAGAACATTTCTAAAAAGAAATATACAAAAATGTATAGAATTTATTTGGAAGAAAAAAAGTTAGTTATTTATTTGTGGTAGTTTGTAAGTTTTGTTAGTGTTTTCTGTGTTTTCATGTAAGATAAGATGTGTATTTAATATGCACAACAAAAGATTCAAATATTAGTTAGCGCACAAATGTTAAGTAAAGTTTATTTTTATTCTAATGCACCAATCAATATTATATATACTCTGATTTAGCTTTTATATTTTTCACTGGGTTAAGTTTATTATTTCGCAATTTGCATTGTTGAACATAATTTGCATGTGCGGCATGCAGAAAGAGATAGCGGAGGCTATGGCAGTGTCGGAAGTCCCATTGGTGGTCCTGAATGTCGTAGCGATTACGAAGGTTTGCAAGCTCAATGCGATCAAGCCATGCATCAGCTTCAGCTACTTAGGCATAAGCACTCCGATAATATAAGACGGTTTGTCCTGGTTTTTTTTAAACTGGTATTGCTTTTTTGGTTGTGCTATTGTGTTGGATCTTCCAAGTAAAACCATATCTATCCTGAAAGTTCATACACGTTTAACCAAACGATTTAAAATTCAGGTGTGAACATACTATGAAGGAATTGGAATACTACAGAGGACAACACATACCAGTCATGAATCAGTTGGAGGCAACGGCGCAGGAGAGCACCGCACTGCGTGGGAAATATGGAGATCTAGTAAACGATAAGCAACGTCTTGACCGGGAGGTTCAAGCGTTGCAGAAGGAAGTGTCCGAATTACGGTGTCAGAATCAAGAAGTTCTTGTTTCCGATGCTAGTAATAGCGACACTATGAATCAACATTATTTATCCGCACTTCGAAAGTATGAAGCAGTTAAAGACGAGTACGATGCTCTTAGGAAACGGTACGATGATTTAATTTCATCGCATTCGTCGGCTGTTAACAAGGCAAGTGTGCAATATTAATTACGGTAATTTTCCGTATGTATTTTTTAAAAGCGGGATGAGTAGCATATAAAGTATGTGCGTAATGTAAGGAAACTTTGTCGTGTAGTTGGAATTATCTCAAGAAGAAGCTGCTAGATTAAAGAAACAGTACGACGATGTTATTCAAGAGCGTAATAGTGCGGTTCGTGAACGCAATGGTTTGAAACAACAATGTACCGCTGCGATCAGGCAATGGGACATCGCGTTAAGGGAAAGGAACGACTATCGCGAAGCCCTATCTAAAGTACAGCAGCAACACGAGGAAGCGGTAAAGGAAATCAATCATGCGATGGTGCTACGTATGAAAGCTAGCAAAGATATGAAACGATTGACAGAAGAAAGAAACGCTGCTTTACAAGAATACAGTTTGATTATGGGTGAACGAGATACGGTGCATAAGGAAATGGAAAAACTTGGAGACGATCTCACACAAGCGTACACAAAAATCACACATATAGAAAACCAGAATAAACAACTTATGGACGAGGTAATACTATTATTATATTTATTATATATGTATATGTTTTATATTGGTTTTTAGTTATTTATATACTCTATATTACTTGCTACTATACGTACTATTTTTAAGTTAACGTTCTGTGTTTTAATACCCACTTGTTTTATTTTTAGAAAAAAGCTTTATCCTATCAAATTGAAACTTTACGAAGAGAAATTTCATCCGCCTTGCTAGATCGGGACGAAGCTTTGAAACAGTGTAACGAGCTACGTCAGAAGTTCGGTGATTATTCCGAAGGGTCCAACAGAGATTACAAAAATCGTATGGAATTACATTCTTATAATCGCGAACGGGATAATTCGAACAAAGAAGCGGAAAGGGAAAATAACGCGGTAGATTACGCGAAACGGGACAAAGAGCGTATGGATAACTTGGATCAAGCGAACTTGGAGTTGGATAAACTCCGAAAATCCGTAGATAAATTACAAACGGAACTCGAAGAAGCTCTCCAAGAAGCGGAAGTGTCGAAACGAAGAAGAGATTGGGCTTTCAGTGAACGAGATAAGATAGTCTTAGAGAGAGAAAGTATTCGAACTTTGTGTGATAGATTAAGAAAAGAACGGGATCGTGCGGTATCGGATTTAGCGGGTGCTTTACGTGATTCCGACGACATTAAAAAGCAACGGAATGAAGCATCGAAAGAATTGAAGGATCTCAAGGAAAAGATAGAATCCGGCGATCATGGGTTACGGGCAAGTCAATTCGTGCAAGGGTTAACGCACGCTCACGATTCCGCTATCGATACCGATGCGAACGATTGGGAAATTCTTACTGTTCACTTCGATCTAGGCCGGCTCTGTCTGGATTCGGACCGTGACTTGGGACTAACGTTGGTCGGAGGTCGCGACAATCCGTATTATCCGAACGATACAGGGATTTACGTTGCCCAAGTTACATCGGGTAGCGCCGTCGACGGCAAGTTGAGAGTTAACGATTGCATCATGCGAGTAAATAACGTTGATTGTACATCTGTTTCTACGCGTCTAATCATGGAAACGTTGCGTACCTGCTCGGTGGGGCCAGCTACGCTAACGATAAGACGACGACGCGTAACTAGAAGATCGTTAAGGACAACGCAATTACCCGTCGGCTCGGTTCCTCATGGAATTTTGTTGGAACTCGGAGTGTATATCTCAAAGATATCTCCCGGTAGTTTAGCTGCCAAGGATGGTAACCTTGCCGTTGGAGATAGAGTTTTAAATGTACGTTTTACGTGGATAAATTATATTCTTTCTTATAGTATAATGCAAATCAATCGATTAATCAATTAACATAATTAATTAATTAATTAATTAATTAAATAATTCCTTGTTTAGATAAATAGCAAAGCAATGGAAGGTATCAATTCGAGTCACGAAGCGATGGTAATTTTGAATGACACGAGTACGGATGTGTTAACTATAACGACCTTGAAAGGAATACCGTTGCCTTCCGCGACTAGTTCCGAAACCATGACCATCGATGGTAGTTTTGGCACGGAGAAACAAAAAATGGTAAACAGTTGTTCGCAAACGGAGCAAGAAAGATTGATGTTGAAAGCTGCTTCGGACGATTCCGAAAGGCGATATCTTGCCTCGAATTTTGGTGATAGAAGCGTTTACAAAGAATCAAAGTCGATTAGCAGCGATAAACCGAGCGGTATTAGCAATGCTTGGGATAATATACTAGAGAAGATCGATATAGTACGAGGACGTAAGCACAGCAAGGATCGAGAAGAAAAGAAGAAACGGCACCGTAACTCGAGTCCAAACACTTTCGAGCAAGAACAAGATGCGATTGCGGAATTAGATTCGGTGATAGAGAGTTATCACAAGAAAGCGAATAACGGAGTACTGAAACGAAGTAAGCGACGCGGAACCGAGAAAATTGAGAAAAATGGAGGTACGTGGCCGAAAGCCAAAGGCGGGCCTCTGATCCAAAACGGTACCGGTACTATTTTACATCCGCATAAAATGAAAGAGAGGTTGCCTTTAAGCGTGCTCCTTAATCAACCGCCCAAGTATATAGAGAGTCATAATAATCGTATTTCTAATCCTATTCCCTTAACAAATTTTTCGAATGTCAACAATCGGCATACAGTTTATAAGTCAATCGAAAAACCATTACCAAATTTCCTTAAGACTGGACAGTTATTTAGTCAGAAATCTTTTACTCCAGTGGTGCAGTTCAAAGATATCCCGATAGATAAGAAACCGACAAGCGAATTCGAGAACACGGAAAGTAGACTCGGTTCTACGTTAACACCGTCCGAAACTAGTATCGACTTTTCCGTAAAGTCGGCTAATACGGGGAAAGATGTAGAATATTTCTCGAAGAAGAGGGCGCAAAAGTATATCCCTAGCAACGAGAACCAAGTAGAAACATTACAGCATAATAGAGCGCAATCTCAACTTTATTCCGGGGCCGGATCGTCAACTTCGTCGACCAGCGGCACGAGGCAGCAGTTAACTGGTAATTTTTCATTTCCTCCCTATACGCATTCGCATCCGCATCCCCATCAACAGAACTCTTTACCTTCGAGATACCCTTCCCCGCCGTCTTTGCCGTCTGCACAATCTGGGGAGTCGATAGGACTTCCCGATGCACGATCTTACTGTTTCGAACCTTCGTATAGCCCCGGCCCGCAAACAGGATTCGGGCATTTGCACACACCCTCCGTAGATTTGCATTATCACAAATCTCGCGCTCCACCGATCGCAACCGCATACGACGTACCGGCCTACACGCATGGCTACGAAGGTGGAACGTTCCCTAGAAAAAAGGAAAATCAACGTTTTCGAATACCGTCAAATCCTAGTGTTACGTCGAAAAGCAGCGTGGGTAAATTGTCCACCGGCAGTATAGAAAGGACTTCGGAAAGAGGCAGCCCGATGCCAACATTCCACGTGGAAGTGCTTAGCCCGGGTACCGGAGCCGGAACTAGCTCTGGTGGAACTGTCAGAGGAAGCGGCACCGCCAATAAACGGTCCAGCATGCCAGATTATTGTTACTCCCAACATAGGCCGGCACCCGGAGAACTTCGCAGAGTTCACATAGACAAATCGGTCGAGCCCCTAGGTATACAGATTTCTTGCTTGGAGAGCGGTGGTGTATTCGTTTCGACCGTCAGCGAACACAGTTTAGCCTCTCAAGTTGGTTTGCAAATCGGCGATCAGTTGCTCGAAGTTTGCGGCATCAACATGAGAAGCGCTACTTATCAACTTGCCGCCAACGTGTTGCGTCAGTGCGGTAATTCCATTACGATGCTGGTGCAGTATAGTCCAGACAGTAAGTACAGTGTTTTATTAGACCGAGTAGTAATACTTTTCTATCTCTACATATTACGACATGCACATTGTAACATTTTTCCATTCTTCTTCTACTTTGTTTTCTTTTTCTTTTTTGTTAAATGTGATCCTTAAATATTGCATGGTTTCTTTTCACAACGCAACACGCAACCTAACGTATACATATACGTATACGTATACATATACATATACATACATGTACGTATATATGTATACATAGATACACACATTGCGTTTCCCTCGTTAGAATACAACGAATTAGAAGGAACCGCTTCCTCGAGTTCGTCGGATGCTGGTGGCGCCGAGGGTGGTAGTCGTAGCGGATCGCCAACACCTTGCAATAGTCCCGAAGCTTCTAGAAAACCAACCATCGAGCCGTTGGAGAGCTCCGAACCAGAACGCGATGCTTCGACTAACTTGAGTACAACGCGTGATACTTCGAATACCTTGAACATTATGCGCGAGACAAAGAATACCTTGGAACCTCCTCGTACGATTCGAGAACGAGATATAAGAAACTCGGCTTCTTTGGAAATACGAGGCACGCAAGAGAGAGAACGGGAAATCAGAGCATCGGCGTCGTTGGATATCAATATTAGGAAGCCTGAACTTCGTAGTTCAGCCACTTTGGACGGTATGCGTAATTCGGCAACTCTCGATACCTTGCGTGTTACCGCAAACACTCTGACACGCGCCCAGCTCAATCAAGCAGCGACCACGTTGCAACGACAAAATGCTACCGTAAGAAGTCCAACGCAAGAGGATCAAAGTCGTAAGAGTCCACCGCCGAGCGAGCCGAGGTATCTGTTCATCGAGACCAGAAAGTGCTCGAATCTAGGCATTTCGCTCGTGGGTGGTAACGGGGTCGGAATATTCGTACATTCGGTGCAACCAGGTTGCCTTGCGGAAGAGGCAGGGCTCCGGACCGGTGATCGTATTCTAGAGTACAACGGTGTAGATCTCCGACAGGCGACCGCGGAACAAGCAGCTTTGGAATTGGCTAGGCCAGCGGATAAAGTGACGCTGATCGCTCAATACGTACCCGAAAGGTATAACGAAGTGAAAGATAAACCAGGAGACAGTTTTTACGTGAAAGCAATGTTCGATCGGGTAGGCGAAGTAGGAGACAGCCTACAACTTAGGTTTAACAAGGATGATATTTTATACGTCGACAATACCATGTTCAATGGTACTCCGGGTCATTGGAGGGCTTGGATAGTCGATCATACCGGCAGAAGACAAACTTGCGGAATAATTCCGAGCAAATTCAAGTAAGTCTAACATGGTGAAATATCGTCGATGAACAACACGTATTGTTGAGCTATTCCATGCTTTTATTGTATGCTTTTTTATTGTACTTTTAGAGTCGAAGAAGAGTTGCTTTTACGGCGTTCATTGGGCGATTTGGAAACAGATACGACTAGACGAGGTAGTACCAGTGCCAGAAGAAGCTTTTTCCGTCGAAAGAAACATCAACGCTCTTCTAGCAGGGACAGTAAAGAGTTATCGCATCTAACTGGAGTAAATTTGGGTTGGTATAGCGACAGTGGAACGTTAAACGAGGAAACTCTGCCAGCCAGCTACCAACGTGTCGAAAGATTGGATTGTAAGTACTAAAAAGACGAAGTCACTCTGGTTGCATACATATATGTGCAACCGATGTAAACCTGTCGACTTAACGGCTACGAAACACTTGATAAACTTTATAAAGTAATAAAGTAGCTTAATCAATCAATGGTTTCATTTTTCTATAGATCCAGCTTTAAGACCGGTGCTAATTATTGGACCGTTAAGCGAATGCGTGGTGACGAAACTCTTACAAGAATTTCCAGGACAGTTCACTAGGTGTCTCGCAGAAGCTATGCATTGTTCTCAATCGACGCTTGAGCAAGGTTTACGTGACGCGCTTTACGTAGACTACAGAAAAAAAGGAAGCTATTTCGAGTGTACTACAGTACAAGCTGTGAAGGACATCTGTGAGAAGGTAACGTATTTTTTTACTCAATGTCGTGCATAATATTGATAACGGTATTTATATAACACGTGTAGACGTACGGGATTAACTAACTAAAAGTACATTCTCTAAAGCTTACGTAATTTTTTGAAATTTTTCTTTTACTACCCTTGCTCGAAGATTTATCGAAATAATTATTTGATTACTTATAGAATACTCATTGCATTTTGGATGTATCGATTGCATCGATTGAGCGACTCCATCGGCATCAGATCTATCCTATAGTGTTGTTGATTAAATTCAAGAGTACCAAACAAATCAAGGAAGTAAAAGATTCGAGGTATCCAAGCGATAAAGTTAGCGCTAAGGTTGCGAAAGAAATGTACGAACAAGCACTGAAATTCGAAGCCGAGTATAGGCATTATATTTCTGGTGAGTTAACATTTGTTCACGTAACGTTCTATTTTTTCTAGGTTAAAAGAAAACGTTATTTTATCTATCTTTTCAAATCGTATTGAACTTACTACGTATTTGCTACATTACCCCGGATTTCTTTTAAATTTGTTTTAGCTGTAATTCCAGCCGGAGTAAATGTAGCGTACATATGTACACAAGTCAAGTCCGCGGTAGACGAAGAGCAAAGCAAAGCGCTGTGGGTTCCTAGAGGACCTCCCTGACATTTAAGGGGGGGTCCCCACAAACCGCAGTGGAAATCAATCTAAATTCCACCAGGGGGCCCTTACGTCGTACGATTACACAAACTTGTTACAAATTTATTTATTTATGGTCTCCTATTTGCTCAAACGTTATACAAGAATTTCAATTTTTCTATTTATGGACTCGTTACAACGGTTGTTTTTCAATTTATTTTCACTCGTTTAGGTTGTGATGTAATACCGTTAAGGTTGCAATGTTTTTGTTTGTTTTATAGATTCTAGCACGTCACACTTTGGGCGAGGTAAGCTACATTTTTTTTTATTTATGTCGATTATATTGATTATCGTTTTCGAATAATTTTATTCAACGAATACTTTCATTTTAATTATAATCGTCATTTTCTACAATCGATATTTCCGAAAACATGCATATTCGTATCGAAATTTTCGTATGTATTCAAATATATTTCTCGTTCCTCGTAATACAATATTACAATATTACAGAGGTTAGACACCGGATAATCAATTTTGTATCAATTTCATATTACATTTTGCATCTTCTTTTCCTGCGAGAATAAGATAATATTAATGTATTATCTTTTAGTATTTATTCAATTTTCACGAAAGATCTCCGCAACTCGGAGTAATTTGAATGTTTCCCAAATTTGTTGATTAATAAACGAAAGCCTGTGAGAACAATGATTACTCGTACTGGAAGAAACGAAAATAATTCGCTGCTTTGTCATTTTGCTTCGGATCTTGATCGATCGTAATTTTTCGGTACAGAATGCATTGTCGTAGAGACGTGATCTACGGTAATTGGTGCGAGACCATAAATGAATCGGTGTAGCAAATGCAAATATTTGTCGTATCGTGGCCCGCTAAATAAATAATTGGTGGACGAATAGAAAGTTTATTAGTTAGCGAATAAGTGATTTCGACAGCCGTGGCTGGCTGGTGTTATTAACCCCTCAGATCATTTCATTGTACAGAATAATTTTGCGTGATTAGTATTACTGTACAGAGGATGTAATATTTTACATATATGAGAAGAAGTTACTTATTTGTATATAATTTACTTAACAAACTTATGGATTATATGCATATTAATTTTTAATTTACACGAGCTGTTTAGATTTAAGTTGTACTATTTAGTCATATTATTTCATAAAACTGTTTATACATAATCCATTCGTTCGAAGTGAAATGAAAACTATTGATTTGAGGGGTTAAGGTACTTAATGTTGTTTTAGATCGAGGATCTGATAAACGTAAAGATGAAGATGAAGGAATACGGAATTGATCAACGACGGTTCGTTTTAACCGTCGAATGTGTACATACATATCTAAAATTAAAAAATAATAAATAAGCAGAAGATGTCAGCGACACAAACTAACTTGTTATTATACGCTCGTATTACTGCTTTTTTACCTCTAAGATTCAAATTGTTTTATAAATTTACACTACGATGGTGTTTTTAAAACGAGCTTAAGACGCTTTGTAAGGTGGAGTCAGTGTATTTTCGAGGAAATGTATTTAAAACGCGAATACGTACCGTTACGTATCTACATTCAATATTCAACGGATCGTTTGCAATACGTGATCGTTTTAATACGCGTTTTCACATAGATTCTTACGATACGTTTTACTTTTACAACCTTCGAAATTACGTTTTAATCGTTTTACTCTTTCTTGTGCAATCTTTCGACCATCACGAGATGATAAATCTTTAGATTTTTTTTCTTGTTCCGTAACTGGATGTAGATACATATTTCGTAAATTATTGTCGGACAAAAAGAAGGCACGTTTAATGTACCAAGGGACAGATAACGTAAAACTTTATTTACAATGCTTCGATACTTAAATATACAATTTTGTTTTCTTCTTTCTTCCTTTCTCTGTTTTTTATACAATGCCTTTCTGACTTTAAACGAGATTTGCCGTTCTTATAGAACGGTTGGCTATCGAATATCACGTTTCAAACAGTCGTATTTCATTGTTTACAATTGGGCAATTGTCGTAGTTTACGTAAAAATGTGCAAGTGTCACGGACAGAAAGTATTTGTTTGGAACTGTACACGAAGAAAGTGTGAAGCAAGAGCGAGGAACAAAATAATGATACTTGTTTCTGTGATGCATATACTAAATTGGAACGATACGAAGAAGTAACTGTACACCAGAGTTTCTGTATTTAAAAGTCGACATTATATTTTCACTCCGACGACTCGACGGACACAGAGAGTAACGTGTCAGCAATTGTCGACTTTTCATTGTTCATATCGATATAATACGTAATAATACGGGCTCTGCATATATCTATTTTCGAAAGCAAGTTATCGATTTTAATATCATCCTTATATGCCTGCCCTTATCACTCTCGATATTCTATCACTGTTAAGTTGGTTTGGTTTTCTAACCGTATCGTTCGAATAAATTCCAGAAATAAGTCTGCCAAAGCCGAAACTGAGCTTCCCCTATTATTTATTAACTGGTTAATCGTCGATTAATCGTCGATTAATCGTTTACTTTACGCGACTCAAATTGTATATATTTCAAAGATCTTTACAAACTTTTAGTCTTCCTACTAAAGTCGCGCTCAAGTTTTTTTATTGAGTAATACCCCATCATTTGTCAATCGATGCAAGTGAATCATACTAATCTTCTCCGTATTATATCAATTTCAGTGCATCTATCACCAAAGCAGGCGAAACATGTTTGTTCTTTGCTCTTGCGTGTCTTTGCTTCTTTGTAACACGAAAATTTAGTTTTCTAACGAGACAATATTTAGGCGTAAGTTACAAGCGAGACCAAAAATTAAAGGGATACTATGCTAATTCATAAGAATTTACGATTAAATTTCGTCGTATCTTTAGCGTCGACACGCTTAAAACAAAGTTGTAGATGTATACTTTTTGATATACAGCGAAATCATCGGTACGAATTTCGCGACAGAACAGGCTCGAAATGGAAAGAGAGTACGTGAAAGGTGCCGAGTACACTTGGCGATTGGTTAACAAGGAATTATTGTGTTTCGTACCCAGGCTAGATCTAGATAGTTGTAAAGGCGATTGCGGACAATCTAGAAATTAAAAATAGGAATTTACTAATGAATTAATATAACGAAATATTTTCGGGAAAAGATATTTCATTCTTATTCTTTTAACAAATAAGAAAGATACGAGTAATATATGTATACACGCCTATGTGAATCTTGGACGTTATACATACACGCGTACGATCAAATTACGCGAAGGTGTTATTCACGCCAACATCATTAAATATTTTATACGTAACGATATCGTAATCATCATTAATTTCTTTTTCACAATTTTCCTTGGAAAAAACAGATTTAAATGCATACTTTTCATCGAATTCATAGATACCGAAACCGTTAACGAAACGATAAGCTTATACATTGGCTCACCTTACATAGACGCAAAATGTATAACGCGTAAGATTCACTGATAAGGGATTAAAGGTGCGTCCCTTATATTTTCACATCCAGTTTTAACGTACTATCGAAAATGAAAAACTGTTGAACTGACACCTGAATTAAAACACGGTTTTTGCAATATGTAAGAAAGAAAATTATGATAGGTCGAGAGCGAAGCGAAACTGAAACAAAGACAGAAACAATTGTTGAAAAAGGTGAAAGACAAAAATAACTTTTAATCACGGTACTGTGATACATGCAATATTACTGTTTCTATGACATATCAGTTTCATACTCGTTCTACATTACTATTAGACATACATGTATCGCTACGAAATTCATATTTTGGACAGTATTTATATATGTATATGAACGATACATATATATTTAACTATGCACTTTAAATATTTTTCATAAGCACCATGGTTCCGAATCACTCGATACCTACATATATGTATGCATACATATACATATACATAATATGCGTAAACATCAAAAGATGTGCAATACTCGTAATTATTTGCAATTACAGTGAAACGTTCGAGTGGACATGACTTGAGCAAAAATAAATCCGACGATACACTTGGTTACGACTATTCGTATGTTCCTACCGTCATTACATTCAACTATTCCATTGGAAATTAGCGATACGCTGATGCAAGTTCCATTAGAAAAACGTCGGGTTTGATTGTATCGATCTTAAGTGACCAATAAATGTCGCAAGTTCTGTTCATTCGAATTGCAAAAATATTAAAAAACGAATCACACCAAGTGGTGCACTCACGATCAGTTAGGTGGACCGACGATTTAGTAAATCGGCATTGTTTACTAACGATCATTGAAGCGTATATGGTGATATATTACGTAGACACGAAGCAAAGACCAGTGATCGTGTTCGAACAATAAGCTGATGGCGATTTATTCGAATAACGGTCACCACTAGTCTTCAATAGTATTCTTTTATTTTCTATAACGAGTTTTTCTTGGACAGTATCACACTTGTGTGCTCCTCCCAAAATTCAATTGTCTTAACGGTACCGTTGTATTTCACAGTATATACATATACATATACATATACATATACATATACATATACATATACATATACATATACATATA